GCTTGAAAAGAGATGGTGAGAATCTTAAGATACAGACTTACCAAACTGGAAACACACAGACACACACACTCATACCCTTAAAGAGGTGTAGAAAAACAGAGGTAGAAAATATACAGGGTTATGTAATTTAACGAAAAGAATTGAGAAAAATGTTTGGATAAGGGCAATTTCTAATCTGTGTTAAAAAGAACGTCTTCATTTTACTCTCTGTTCAGCTTCTGACTACACTCGGCCTTGGTTCCCTTCAGTTTTAGTTCTTTTTAACATTTTAACCTGATGACCTGTTCTCTGGCCTTGTACCTTTCTTCCAACTGTACATGAGAAAATGAGAGTAAAACTTGCAGATGCATCAATTTTTTTTTTAGCTTTTTCTTGTAGACACGATATTCTTACTCCCTTTTCACTCTTTGACTACCTGCCTTCACAGTCCACTGACCTTTGATGACATGCCCTACAGTGCTGCTCAATTAGCCATTGATTCAAGGACCTGAGCCAATTCACACAGTCCACAATAAGTACAAAAATTGCAAGAATTAAGAACTTTGGTAGAAATTTGGTAGAGTCATTTTTTGTCTAAAACTTTCATTCATCTAGCAATAAATTATTATTATTATTATTTTTGTTTGTTTTTGTTTTGTTTTGTTGTTTTGTTTTAACAGAGCAATAGTCCACATGGATTGTGGCCAAGGGAGAGAAAAGACAAAAACACCTGGTCTTTCACCCCAGTTTGAGAAGCACTGGTCTAATGTAGTCTCAGTTTCTCTAAAGATGTCTTTTGATTTCCAACCTTCATGCCTTTGCCTATTTTTTAGTTAATACTGCCTGTCTCTTAATCCCCACTGTAATATCCTCTCCTTCATGAATTTTTCTTTTACACTTCTACTGACTCTTACGCTGAAGTTCTTTGTATTTCTGCTGAAATCTTATAACTAGTATTTGTTGGATATAGTATCATTTAACATTCTATATAGTTGCACTTGCTTTTTTGCAGTACTGTCTTGGAGGCCGCGCCTGAGAGATATGATCAGGATGGATAACAGCCTGGACTTAGAACTCATAGACATCTGAGTTCTGTCATTTATGAGCTGAGGGACTTGGGGCCAGTCAACTAGACTATTTATACCTCAGTTTCCTTATTTATCAAATGGGACTATTGGTAGCACCTATCTCTTAAGGTTGCTATGAGGATTAAACGAAATATCAGTGCACAGTTCCTGGCATATGCTAAACACTCGACAAATTACTGCTGTTATGTTTTTCATTATTAATATTAGCAGCACTTTTACAATATTTTTTATTGCCTTCTTTCAGGCATTGCCTGGAATTAGCCATTTAATCACATTGTTTTGAAGGAAAAGAAGATACGAAGAAGCTTCCACATGCTTTGGTGGACCCACATTTTGAAGACACTGCTAGAATGGGTGGTGTGCCAAAGGGTGGAAAGTCACTGGCTATCTAATGGGCTTTGGAGAGCTTTGTCAGTGAATGCTACAGAGACTTCCATGTTTAGGCACAGAGAGCATCGCATGAGTCACTCATAAGATACTTTTTCCTACAGGCAAAACTAATGCTACCAAAAGGAAAATGGAATAATATAAAACAACATTAGAAGAAGGCAATGTATCTAAAATTATCTCCACCCACAAAAAATTTGGCTGGAACACCTGGATTTTTCCAAGTATAATTTTAGTTAGGTAAACATGAGAATGATATATTTTCCTAAAAGAGCAAAGAGTCATTTTATGGAACATGGTGGTTGACAGTAATCTTCAAATTCAGGAGACCGATTTTGCAAAAGATTTTCCTTGTTTTAAAGAATGATAAGATGTAAATTTGAACAAACTGAAGTAATGATGCTCAACACTAATAATTGCTGAACTGCCAAAATTTACCCTCAAATAGTATTTTTTTAGGATAATATCTAAGAATATGGACATTTAGATGTGAACTACTATGCTAATCATGCAGCAGTTAAATGATTTTTTAATGTGTGCACTAAACAAGTATATTAATAAAACATATTATAGATTCATAGCTGTCTAGAATATGCTTTATTAGGCTTTAAGAAACAGGTAAACTCTTTTAAAAGTAAGCAGAAATATATTCAGTATGTAACTAAATTAAATACCAAGCAAAATGGCACTGAATTTAAGGGAGTGGATTATGGTTTTTGTGGTCAAATTATTTCTGGTATATTGAATGTGAATTCAAGAGGAAGATTGCAAACAAAATTCTGAGAAGGGCTAGAGAACAAGATTTAAGAGCTTTTTAAGCCCTTGCTACACAAGGGCAATAACACAAAGACATAATTTACTATAGCTGGAGGATGGGAAACACAAAGTGAAACCCAGATTGAGGATTTATAATCCATTTCTCTATCTGTAAGTGTGGACACACACACACACACACACACACACACACACTGAATACATGTGAACATACCCACCATGTACATGTGAGGATCTGAATAAAAGGAAGAGAAGTAGGGTTGAACACTCACACCCATTTTCAATAATAAGGTCTGTTAGACTTGAATGGTGCAGCAGTCTGTCAGGGAAGTGGTGAAATCATCACAGACTTGTCAAGTGATTCAGAATTAGATCAGACGAAGCACTTTAAAAATACCCAGTAAGAAACAATCTAATGTTGGGAAGGCAACAAAAAGGATGACCTAAATTGGACTTTTCCACCTCTAACTTTTAGTGCTTTTTATGTAGTTTAAAAGTAGAAAAGTATAATACTTATAGAAGTACTGAAAATTAGGGCCTAAGCACTATAAAGTGCTTATTGTTATATCCCACATAACAGTCCTTGATGGTAGAGTCAAAAATTAAATAGGATTTAATTTTCCCCCCATATGTAATGTTATTACAACTGATATAAACATATGATGATGATGCTGGGAAAATGGTAGAGGTTCTTTAAGAATTATTAACTAACATTTATAAAAATAGGGAGATCAGATGAGAAGTAGCTTCTAGAAGAGTTATTTTTCATGGTCTTCCTGTCCCCTGATCTTAAGTTAAATAATTGTCAATCAGATGCAATGTCTTTATATAATTTGATTTACCTTATATTCAAAGGCAGTCAGGGTACTATATAAAATGAATGAAGTTACATAGAAAAGGCTCAATAATTTTTTCTAATCATTTCTAATTTTTGCTTTTTAAATTTAACCTATAGTGATTTGCTTGGGGCACTTTTATTCCATTTCAGGAAACTCACCTATCCTCATTCAAACAAATGTGCTGTAACCAGCCGTGGGAACTTCCTGTTGTCTAGAGTTAGCCTGTGTGACCTTTTGGATAAACCACTGAGTAGACATATGGCCCAGTGGATCAAGTGCCTGGAATTAATCCTGACCGAGGCCTTCCTCATCTGTAGATTGTTTCTAGATCAATAGTGTGCCCTCTGAGCTGTCCAAATGCTTGGTAGCTCACTGACCACCCTTGCCCCATGTGACTGGTTTTACATAAACTTCATATGAAATTTGCTGATGCTAACTCACGTCTCTTTTAATCTTTGCTACTCAAAGTATGCTATTTGACACTAAGTCCACTGACATGCAGAAAGCACAGAGGAAGGTCGTTTGCCGTGGTAGTGAGGCAAAATTAAATGACCTCTTTATTTTCCTCTGGAAGTAGTGGTGGTAAAGAGGTGCTGGCCATGGGCACCATTTTCCTTGATTCCTAGCCCACTGAGGGGAGGTAGAAGATATTTAGTAAACTTCTGTTGGATGGATGAATTAATGATCATTTCAAAGTAGGCTAAATTTTGGTGTTACTCTTTCTGCATTCTTTTCCTCCCACCTGGCCTCCTAGAATGGCTAACACACAGGATCTGCAAAAACACAGGAGGAGGAGCAAGGATGGGAACTTAGTGCCAAAAGAATAAAAATGACATTCTGTGTCTAGCCATCTTTTGCATCAGAGCGTATATATAATCTTCGACCAGCTGTAAACTATTCAACATGATGTATAGTGGGGGAAAATCATGGCATTTTGGAAGACAAACACAACTGTGTCTAAACTTAACTTTGATACCAATATTTTACCCAAAGCAGATTATTTAACTCCTCTGAGGCTCAGCTTTCCTTCATTAAAATGGAGAAATTATCTTTTGCCTTGGAAGCTTGTTTTGAGGTAAATTACTTCATATTGTGTATATGTGTGTGTCTCAATAGTTATAATAACAGTTTTCATTTCCTGAGTATCTACTAGATGTCTGAGTGCAGGATTTCCATTAATCTTCTTACTAACTGTGCAAGGTGAATAGTATCATTCCTACTATAACATATAAGTAACTAAATTGAGAATCAGTGATGTAAAAGAATCTATACAAGGTCATAGAGCCAATAAGTGTGACAGAAGAGATTTGACTTTAAATTTATCTAATTTCTGAGCCCAGGCTTTAATTTATCCTGATCAGTAAATATTATTCCCTTTGTTGTACCAAAGAAAGGAAATTACACAGTTTCCCCTTTTCTAATTCATCTTTGTTCATCTTCTTCTATATGTTAGTAGCCCTATTTCCATCATAAACCCCAATAGACCCAATAGTTTTGTCCAATTGAGCCACTAGGATAACTCAGGTTTTCTATAACGCAGTCCAAGGGAGAAAACGAGATACAGCCTTCTGGATATGTGAAAGTACAGCCATTTCTATCTTCTGTCATGAATAGAGTCAGAGATTCTTCTGGCTGTGCCTCTACATGTGATGTCAGTGGGAACTTTGACTATGAAGGGTGGAGACGCCAAACTTGGGCGATCTGCCTTTGGAGCTGTTAGCAGAAGCTGGAAATGCTTATAACCATAGCTGAGTCAGAAGGATGTGAGCCTTGGACTTATCCTGACAGTTGCCTTTAATGAAACAAGCCTGGCCCCGTTAGGTTCTGGCAAGTCAGCTCTTTAGAAAACACCAGTTCTTTGGAAATCTTCCGACTTTCCCAAGTTTTGTTTTTACTCAGCCTCTTGAGTTTTGTTTCTGTTTTCCATTATCAGATTTATAATCGCTTGGATACAAATTGCTGTGGCTTCAAACCTCAAAAGGAAGATGCCTGTGTGCAGAATGGACGGAGGCCCAAATGTGACCACCAAGATTCTGTGGCTGTCGCTCACATTGTCCAGCGAAAACATGACCCAAGGCATTTGGTGTTCATAGACAACAAGGGTTTCTTTGACAGAAGTGAAGATAACTTAAACTTCAAATTGTTAAAAGGCATCAAAGAGTAAGTTTGATGATGTAGTAACATATGTAGGATTTCAGATTTATATTAAATAAGTAGTAAGGTTTTGAGAAAACTCACATCCTATGTCTGATTGATTTAACCCTGGAATTATGGGTGTGGAATCTGGGAATGGAGGCGCAGAAAAGGGAAACAAGTCCTAGCGGAACAGAACAAGAGTGTATCCAGGGTGTCACCATCTCCAGCCCATGCAACGTGCAAAGTTCCCGCTATATTTCACATCTGTCATATTGCTTGGCCCTCACTGTGAAAAATCCATGTGGATTAGGTTGGAAGCATGCAGAAATCTCTAGAATAGGAACTGGCAGAACAGGGGTAAGCAGGTGGCAGAGGCTCCGTTATTTGGGCATGGGACAGGGGAGCTAACAGACATGCAGGTATTGGCATGGCAGGATGTCCAAAGGCATAATAAACTCAGGTGGCTTTTATGACTGTGGTGGAAAATTAGAACCAATCTGCTGAGTAGAATGCAGTATCAAAGGATAGCAGCTGCTTCATTCAGGTAGGAGGGTTTTTGAACACTTGGAAATCCTACCAGTACACATAGATTATGTGGAAAAGTATCTCAAACTTACATTTAACTGGAAATAAAGGAAACTAAGACACTTACTAGTGGCAGGAACCCTGCTGTAGAATCTGAGCTGCTCAACCCGCTATGGAGATTGAGGCTAGATTTCAGGATCCACCCATAGCCACACTTCATCGCCTTCCCACCTTAGTCAGAAATTGGAGTGACCGAGAACTTGGGACATGTTTGAGACTTGAAAATGGAGAGGTGAATTTCTAAAATAGCTGACCAGCTGTGTGACGCTAAATGTCTGCTGGAAAGCACATGAGCAAGTCAAAAGTTGAGGGTGGAACCCAGGTCTTCCAAATCCAAGTCTAGTAATTTTTCTGCAATAACTCGTGGTATGCGTGCTGTTACTATTGCTCTTGTTAATAATACTCGAAAGTGTATTTCAATAGTCCTTCCTAGCACTGAGAATTAGGTAATGTAGATTTTGTGTACTTTCAACCCTAGAGACAGTACTGTTTCTGTGAGAGTTTCATGAGCCCCAGTTTCATGAGTGTTTGCTATGTTTTGCCCTGTTAATACCTGTTCTTCACACCTCTTTGTGGATTGAAGGTAAAATATATGGCAATTGTCTCCTCAAAGTGTCTCAACAAAGGAAATTTTACATGCAGGAAAACTGACACACCTAAGGCATCACTGTGTTGATGCTATGGGGCCTTCTTAAATCTGTAAGTTTTCTCTTAGAATTAAGAATGCCTGGAAAATGCAGTCCATCCATTTATATAAATATGAATACTGTTTTATTTATGCTTTCAAAGAAGATTTAACTTTAAATGCATTATGAGGAATAAGTAAATCTTCCTCGAACAGGTAATTCACACATTGAAAAAGAAAAATGAAAACTTTGTGAACCCAGATTTATGCGTAGAATAATCCTATTAACCAATGCAATGCAGACACATAATTTCTTTGATTTTTCTTTATGAAAACGATTCACCAGTAAAAAGAACCATGGCTTTTAGAATTTCATCTCATATATTCTTCCACAGCTAAATTAGTTTGAAAGGCCATAGAGCTTATAAATCTTGGATTATTAATGCTTCATAGAGCTAACATGCTTAATTAATATTATGGCTACTACATTACATACTGCACGTCTTCAGGAGCTCAGAGCATCTTATCCGCCTTCTTTAATTCCACACTTACTCAGACTCATTGAGCACATCCAGCTCTGTGTCCTTGGTTTTCTGCAGCAGCAGAAGCACAGGTGCACCTGGATCCCTTGTGTTCATGCCCCTGAGCGACATGCCGAACTTGCTCCATTGAAATTTAGAAAAGGTACTTAGGAGGCTTCAAACTTCTGGCAAGCTGCACGCTTCAAACAACTGTATACTCTTGTTTTGGTTTTTCAGGAACAACTAAGTTCACTTGAAAATTACTATGAAGCCCCAATATTTTCACTGTGCTTTCATCAGCATTTTAGTGACAGCTGGGGGAGGCCAAATTGGTGATTCAACAAAGCATTACTAATGATTCGAATTAGAACTTTTACTAAGATAATGAATGTGCTAGACCCTGGCCTTATTCTTCCTGTATAAAGAGCCAGAAGCACAGTGCATTCTCTTAAGGTTATTCTAAATTGGCCTTAGGTTTTCCAGAGAGATGGCTCATGGTAGAATGCCCTAGCTCTCACACTTGAGTTTTGCTAAATTTATCTGAAAACAATTTAGTATTCCAGTATAATAAAATGCTCCCAGACCCTTAGAATTCCTGAAATATAATCTGCATCAAGGGCAATTCTTTATTTAACTGGTCATTTTGGAATTATTCCTCTCTTTTTTTCACTACACATCTTTTGGATTCTTTCCCATGTAACGTCTACTCAGGAAGAGAACTTGACTGAAATTGTCAGCATTTTTCTTCTCAGATTTTCTTGCATAAAACCCGACGTTGACACAGGAGAATACTATTCTCCTTGACAGATTCAAGTGGTTTCTATGGGTAAAATGGAGTTTGAGATTGAGGAAAGTATTTTTGCCAGTCCAACAGAATTCTCTTTTTCATTCTGTGCCTCTCTTTATCTATAATACATATGATGGCCTTAGGTAAGATGTTAGCATGTCAGCTTCTCAATGGTATAGAAAATTCAGTTCCCTTGAAACATATTATTCTAGTATATTATTAAGAGGAGTGTCTGCTTGATAGTGATAAAAATATTTTGATTCTCAAGGTACTGCTTGATAGTGTGATTTATGCCAGATTAATGAAGGACAGAGCAGGTGGGTAAGGCATAATATTTCCAAACAATTACTAAGAGTGAAATATCATTTTATCTTTTCAGGTTTCCCGAATCGGCAGTTTCTGTCTTGAAGAGCCAGCACTTACGGCAGAAACTCCTTCAGTCTTTGTTTCTTGATAAAGTTTATTGGGAAAGTCAAGGAGGCCGACAAGGAATTGAAAAGCTCATCGATGTAATAGAACAAAGAGCCCAAATCCTCCTCACCTACATCAGTGCACACGGGGCCAAAGTATTACCGATGAACGAATAACAAAAGAACCTTCTGGCTTGAATGCTAGATATGTTTATGCATTTTTGCTTTTGAATCAAATACACAAATCTCAAGTCCTTTTAGGAATGCAGCAGTGTAGATGAATATATAAAATAAATGAATTTAACCAAGGGTATGTGATGGGCCTGAGCACTATACACAGATTTATAAAGCTTTTAAAAAATATGTTCCTCCAAAATATTTGTTTATATTTTTCACTAATATCATGTCCTGTGAGTCTCAGCATCTGATGACAGAATAGTTGCAATTATTTCCCTAGCTAGCTTTGTCAAAACATTTGTCATGTTGTTTAGTAGAACGGTATAAACTGATGCCTCTAATAAATTATATTTTGTGCCATTTTCATGGGTCTGTTCTGATACTAATGGGCATGGCTCTTGGCATTATTTGTGGCTAATTGTAAAAAGAGCAGTCCCAGCACTAACCCAGAGGCCAGTCTGCACTGGAAAACTGAGGCACACGATCTGTAGGTCCATCAGCACATGCAATAGTTTAAATAGAAATGCTGAGTCATTTGCAAAACTATTTGTATATGTTCTACTATAGCTGTAAATGCCCAGGCATTTCTGTGATGCTGAGCAGTGAGAATCACATTTTCCATCCCTTTTTTAGACATTTATTTTGTTGTCAGTGTAGAAACCATCCAAATCTGACAATTCATATAGTAGGTGGTTTTGCTCTCTCTCAGTTTTGGTCCAATTTATGTCTAGTGGCTTAGCAATTAAACAATTTTAAGGCATGAAGTTACCGATTTGAAACTGTGCTTACTGCATATCTTTTTCAAAATGGACACTCTTTAAAATTTTTGTCATTTTTACAAAGGATGAACTATAATTTCTGTATATTTTATTAATAACAGTGAGTTTCTTCAAATTTATTCTGTGTAATTATATTTAAACTGATTTCATTGCTATTGCCCAGATATTGACAATAGGGCCGGATATTGAGTATGTTTAAATATATTGTTGGGCTTATTCCAATATGAGAAATAAGAACAAAATAAATTAAAACATGACTGATCAGTTCTCCTCAAGGAAAGCACATGACTAGAACGAAAAGAGCAAATTTGGATATATTATTAAACTTCAGGTAATTCTCCCAATCTCCCTCTACCAACTTTTTAATTAGGTGGAAGGATTTGGAGATAGAGTATTCATGTGCTGGGGATGTTCATATCCTTAGAAGATACCCACGTCATCATGTGTGATAGATGTTCATATAGAGGTTTCCAATCTTGAACAAATCATCATTACCCTCTCACCCCAACACACTCTCCCTTTACTTAAAAACTGATAGACTGACTTTTGCATTCTCTGCAAGTTTAAAACTACAATTTAAGAATGTTTTTAATAATAAGAACATATCTATAGATTCTAATTTATACAAAAGCATAGGGGCAAAATGTCAACATAATGTGTTAAGTACAGGAGAAGATAGACTAAGGAGAGAGGGGTCATTGGATCACCTAATTATAACTTTTCTAGGCTCGTATTAAAGTGCTACATTATAGGACCCTTGTCTGCTGGGCTGACCTTTGGGGAGTTGGTCTTCAGACCATTCTCCCTGTACAGCACCAAGTCCTCCCTCTGATCCCCTACATTTAGAGTACTCTGTCTCTCCTGAGTCTCCACTTTAACCTGTGGTATTTGGGCTTTTTAAGATCGCTTTTCCTCCCTTTAATCATTATATTAATGAAAAATTGGCCTCACAGAAGCTTGGGGGCCCAGGTTCTACTTGGAGCCACTGACTTGAAATAACTCTTGGTCAAGTTGCCTTATACCTTGTCTTATCAAGGAGGCATATGTACATTGTAATATGCTTTTTATGGAATATACCATCTTCATCCAAAGTGGTGACATTGGTGGTGAGAATTCCAGGCTTCTTGATGAGCTTTAATTTCGTGTCTTAAGCTACCTGTTTTGGGCAGCTTGGTCCTCCCATATGTGGGTCTGGCTTTGTTTATTTGCCTTGAGTTTTTCTAAAATACTTAATACCAAATGAAAGGTTCAGGAACATATGTTTGTTTTAGTCACTTCTGCTTTTAAACAATATATTTTGTTTTTATAATCAGTGAATAATTCATGCTGTATTCCTTTTGAATTAATAGCTAGCTGAAGACCAGGCTTTTGATTCTAATAAGTAATGTTCTTCTTTTCTCTTACTGAAACAATGGGAATACTTTGTCTTTCAGATGTGCTCAGATTATGCTGTAGTTTGGTTCACATCAGCACATTATGTGGCTTATTTATAACTTGATAAATTTAAAATAGAACAATTTACCTTGGCAGACATACAAAAGCTTATTCCTATGTGATTTATTTTCTTCAAACTGATGCTATGAAAATAAATACATATCTTAAAAATCTGTAATAAAAACATTAGAAATTAAAGATGCATGCTTTCTATTTTGTAGATGGCTTTGTTATCTTTTGTAGATGGGTTACTTTTCAGAAGTTAAGTATAGAGAAATGTTTGCTATTTTATCCATGATAAAAGAAACAATTGAATAGTCCAGAATTTTATTGGATTGTGTTTGTGTATACATATATTTGATATTATTTTAGTGATATGCTTTCTCTTGATTTACATATAGCATAGTTTTTGTTGGTATGCAAATTAACAGATATCATAAACTATAAGAGACTACTTAATTTTTGGTTTTCTTTGCTTTGGGTGAATCTTAAAATTATGTTTAAAGTTTTTTTTGTATTTTTTCTTAATTTTCAGCATTATTGAGGTATAATTGACAAATAAGAATTGTTTATATTTAAGGTGTACAACTTGATATTTTGATATATTGTATACATTTGACCACAATCAAGCTACTGTATTTCCCCATGTATAAGATGCTCCCATGTATAAGACACACCTTAATTTTGGGGCCCGAAATTTGAAAAAAAATGTATTACATAAAGTTATTGAACTCAAGTTTTAGTCATCATAAAATTCATACAACTCCTCATCACTTGCGGGAAATGCAAGTAAAAAAATCTACAATCACTGTATAAGACGCACCCGATTTTTAGACCCCAAATTTTTCAAAAAAGGGTGCGTCATACATGGGGAAATACGGTAATTCACGCATCCATCATCTCACATAATTACCATAGTCTTTCCCTCCCTCATTCTCTCCCTCCTTCCTACTCTCTGTCTCCCTTTCTTTTTTTTTCTCTTGCTCTCTTTTTTCCTTCCTTCCCTCCCTCCCTCCCTTTCTTCTTTCGTTCCTTCTTTCCTTCTTTTGTTTTTATAATAGTATTTTTTATTTTTAAATTACAGTTGACATATAATATTATATTAGTTTCAGGTGTACAACATATCGATTAGACATTTATGTAACTTCCAAAGTGATCAACCTGATAAATCTAGTGCCCATTTGATAGCATACACATAGTTATTATAATATTGACTATATTCTTTATGCTATACCCTACATCCCCATAACTACTTGTAACAACCAATTTGTACTTCTTAATAACCTTCTCCTTTTTCACCCATTCCCCAACCCCCCCCCCAATCTGGTAACCATTACAAGGTTCTCTGTATCTATGTATTTGCTTCTCTTTGTTTGTTCATTTGTTTTGTTCTTTAGTTTCCACATGTAAGTGAAATCATATGGTGTTTGTCTTTCTCAATCTGACTTACTCCATTCAGCACAATACCCTCTAGGTCCACCCATGTTGTTGCAGATGGCAAGATTTCATTGTTTTTGTGGCTAATAGTCCATTGTGTGTGTGT